CAGTCTGATGTGAAGTCTGAGCACGCCGCAGTCCGTCAGCGCCATTCGCTGCAACTCTGGGTGACGTGTCTTGTGTGGAAATTGGCAGCGAGAAAATTGAGTTTTTTTTTTTTTTTTTTTTGCCTAAACTTTATTTTTTTGTAATGATCTGTTAACCAGAAGGAGGCCGACATCACTCTGAGTATTCTTCTGCAGCTGTTAGTGTAATGCTCGTTTCTGCCACAAGGGGGCGTTCTCGAACCAACAGCACTGAAATCGTGTGTTTTCTCTCTGAACGTAACTCGGCTCTTCTCAGACTGCAACCAAAGAACTGACGATTGTTCAACCTTTGTTTTGTTTTCAGATCATCCAAACAGGAAGTGATGAACCTGAAACCCCTGAGAGTTTATAACTGTCAAACATTCGCTCCCAGCTGCCCACGTGCTGACTGCTGTCAGGTGTCACCATAGCAACCAGATACACAAAACAATGCACTTGACCCGAGTCATTAAAGCTGATCAGGAAATGTGTGTGTGTGTGTGAAGTCTGTTTGAAGAGTTGTTCTCTCTTCACAGAGGAAAGAAAACCTCTAAGAGTTTATTGGCTTTCATTTTGATCTTCTTTCTGATGTTCTGGTTTTGACGTTCGGCTCTTGTAGATTTATATGTGGGACTATTTTTTCTTACGTTGTTGAAATACATCTGATGAAAAGTCTTCTCTGTCTCTGTGTCATGAAACAAACCCCTAAAGCCTGGCTCACTCTGCAGGATAACCGGGCCGATTTGAGCTCCGATTCTTCCTTCCCAACGATCGCAGGGTCGGTCCCGACTCGATTCTCTGTCCAGATTATCTCGTAGTGTGAGCGGTACAAAGATCCAATCTTAACCCCGATTTATTTCAAACATGTTTAATATTTAGAATTTAAAATCTTAACGATTACGTCATGAAAGGGTCCGGCAGAAGTTGTGTGTGACTACAATATAATCACGAGAGACAAGGGAGGACTGTCTCCATATATCTACGATCATATCAACTTTCCTCTATCCTACAACAACTTCCACTTCCTTCTCTTTCACCAACCGTCGTCCTTTGTTTTTTTCAAATGAAACTTTATTAACAATTGTCAACGCTCCGTCCTGATTTCACTCGTACAGTGTGAGCTCTCCGGCCGTGCCCGACAATCGGGTCGTACAGCGTGAGCTGACATGCCACCCCGACTTTTATACAATTAGGAATAAATTGCACAGTGTGAGCCTTTAGAGAGTGTTAAAGTTCCCCGCCATCAAACTTCTTTTTAGGACAAACTTGGCCCTAAAGACCAACACTGTCTTCATTTGTGTTCTACATTCTTGATTACATGTTGATTCATGCTGACACATAAATGATCTTCAAACTGGGAGCACTATGAGCAGCCTGATTGGTTTGACCTTGTTGACATCACTAATGTAGAAATGTCTCCTTTGACTTCAGAGCTGCAGGAACTTCAGATTTGATGGACAACATGAGGAGCTTTTTTAAAACCCGTCGCAGGAGGTGAAGGTGTTGTTTCCTGGAGGTCGAGTGTCGTGACATTTAAACAGGCGTCTCATGAATTTTCAACATGAAGCAGCTGCACTCTGTATTCAGATGCTGAGCGCGAGCTGGAAAACACGGGACACCTTCATCCAGAGCGCCGGCCGTCACTGCAGGCGTGTATACACACACACCATGTGTCCTTTCACTCCCACATGAAACAGTCTTAGCCTTTAGTGAGATGGTAACACACCCATTGTTTGAAGACTTTTCTGAACCACCTGAGTCCTTCTGCTGGGATTCTGACTTTGCCAAAAACAACAACAACAGACTGTTCCTGCCAAATCAGTTTCAGGCTCTACTCCAAGCTCCTCCCCCTGAATGTCTAAGCTCCTCCCCCTCTCTCTGAGGCTGAGCCCAGACGCCCTCCAGAGGAAACTCATTTCAGACGCTTGTATCTGCGTTGTCATTCTTCCAGTCTCTACCTAAAGGTCACAGGAGAGGGTTGGAACGAAGACCGCCTTCAGGCTCAGCTCGCTCTTCACCACGGTTCAGTACAATTCCCAAGTTACTGCCCACGCCGAGTCGATCTCACGGTCCATCTGACCCTCACCGTGAACAAGACCCTGAGATACTTGAATGCCTTCTCTTGGAGCGAGCACTCCGCTGTGTCCAGCAGAGAACCGGGCCTCGACCTTGGAGATGCTGACCTTCACTCCAGCCACAAACTGCCCCAGTGGATGCTGGATGTGTCAGATTAGTATGAAAAAAAAAGAAAGTAGTATCTGTTTAAAGAGGGAAACATTTTTAAAAGCAAACTCAAGACCTTTTTAGTAGAGCGTTTAACTGGACCTCATTTCATCTAGTTTTATTACATTTTGAACCTCCTGTGTTTCCTCATTTAGAATAAATGATAGCGTTTCCTCAGTACCTGTTCTTATCTAGTTATTTTTACTTTAGTTTTCGGATTGTGGGATGGGGTGGGGGAGGGAGTCATGTTGTTGCTGTTTGATTAAATGTTGATGTAAAGCACTTTGGCATACATTTGTTGTATGAAAAGTGTTATACTAATAAAGATTGATTTATAAAGGAGGAGGCCTTGTTCTCCCCTCATGAATGTGAGCGAGTCTCCTCGTATTTCTGCAGACACGTGAAGACATCTCAACTCACATCTAAGCCACTGATTAGAGAGGCGTGCTGCATCAGCGCTCACGGCGTACTGTTTGTCCCAGTATCATATCCAAGTTTAAAATGCTCGTATTATAAGAACCCTGATGGGAACACTCAGGAAAAGAATAAAAACAAATAACATGACCGACATCATCAACAGTTTTTTATTATTATTTTATTGTCATCAACAAACATATTAAATTAAAAAAACAATCGGATTTGAGGTTCTGTGTGTAATGGTTGAGTTGCTAACAGCTGATTGGTCTTGGTTGTCGTGCTTCCCTGTGATTGGCTGAGCTGCACAGACTGTACGTGAGAAATTGAAGTCTTTGTCTTTTCAGCTGTCACCGTCACTGTGACGTTTCGCCTTCAATCAGAATGTGTCAGCGGCGTGATGGGGGGGCGGAATCAGTGGTGATTCTAGGGTCTGTTGGGGCAAAAGTTATTTTGGGGGCCTCAGCAGGGCAACGAGAGCGAATGCTGTCAGATGGGGCCCCCTTAGGGAGGTTTTCTACAGTCATTGCGAAATTTGCGCATTTTGGGTTGTTGCTTTGGTCCAAAGTTTGTCGGCCCCCCTACTGGTCCGGAGACCCAAGCAGTTGCCTGCCTTGCCTGTTGACAAGCAGCGCCCTTGGGCGGAATGACCCCCCCCCCCCCCCCCCCCTCTGTGCCGTCTTCAGAGGTAGTAAGAGAGGCGGGACGGGATCAGCTGAGTCAGCGGGGGAGAACAGCGCTGTGTGTGTGTGTGTGTGTGTGTGTGTGTGTGTGTGTGCATGTCTGACTGTGTGTGTATGTGAAGCTCCCTCTGTGACCATGTGACCTCACAGACTGGGACAACATTATGATGCTGTCGCAGCGTCAGAATCACTCTACAAAGACGTGATGACGGCTGAGCTTAGTTCAGCTAGTACCAGTGCTAGCAATTTTTCGATCCTTCCATTTCCATTATTTTAATGAGCGATAGAATCAAAAAGTATAGAAAGTTAAAAAAAATAATTTAAAAATGGAAGTCTACTGTCGATAACACCTGAGGAGGAGCCGGGTTAGACTCGATCTGTTCTTAGAGGAGTAAGTGAATAAACATGAGCGAGGTTTTGGTAGCCAACGTCTCTATGGTAACAACTTGTAAATCACAGGTAGCCCCGCCCTAACCCCTCCCCCTCTTTCTGGTCTCTTTAACTCTAAATGGGACCATCATTTGCTAAATGAGCATCATGCTGTGTGGAAGAAGACTTGAAACTTCAGATTGAGAACATAAACATGTTAGGAAAATGTTTACTGAGGGAATAAATCAACTCAGCAGTAGGAGCATGTTATCATGGAATCCCCCCTGCTGGACATTAGAGAGAATGCAGGTTTAAAACACTCCTGCATTGGCTGCTTTTTTTAAAACCAGGAGGTCCACTTCCTGAACACAATCTGTGATGTAGACCCTCGCTATGACTGGCTGATCATCAAACCTTCTGAGTTATAATCTCTGTAACCCGCCTTTCCGTACAAACATGAACTGTTAAGATTCAGGCAGCCATCTTTTTTTTTCTGGCAGTTTGCATCCTGCAACATTTGGACGACAGCATCCAGTGAATTTTTAATAACTCGTTTGTTTTGTAAATATTCAGGCTTTGAAACTCCACTTCAGAAACCAAAAGGTGATGTCACTGAGTCTTTGTCCATGTGTTATACGGCGTTCTGTGCCAGTCCAGTTGCTAAGCCCAGAATTTTTGCAACCATTGGCAAGACTTTCAGAATCGGCGCCACCTCGGTGTACCAGCGTCTCGCCGCATCCGCTGAACAAGTTCATTAGGACTGGTCCGGTGTTTAGGTTTCAGTAGATCCACTTTGCTGTGTGACCTGTTTGATGTTTTGACTTCTACCTCAGCCTAGTGTCCCCCACGTCCTCCGTCATGCGGAGGGAGGAGGTCCGCGCCTCCCCTTCGTACACTGACTTGGCAGTCACCAGCTTCAGCGGGAACTTGCTGACCTTCTTCAGGCGCTTGTTGTTCCGGATGTTCATGAAGCAGAGGGTGTTGATGACCCCGTTGCTCATGGCGATGCACTCGATGATGTAAAAAGCCACCAGGGAGTTCCTGTTCTGGGATATGAGGGTGGGGTAAAAGTCCCGCAGCAGGGCGAAGCTGTAGTAAGGCGCCCAGCACAGGATGTATGCGACCAGCACAAGTATCAGAACCACCACCGTCCTCCGACGCTTCTGAAGCTTCCGTCGGATCTGCTCCGTCTGGAAACCCGGGAAGTCCTTGAACCAGAGCTCCCTGGAGATCCGGGTGTAGCAGACCGCCATGATGGTCACCGGGCCGATGAACTCCAGAGCGAAGATAAGGAGGAAGTAGGAGCGGTAGTACACCTGCTGGTCCACGGGCCAGATCTGAGCGCAGAAGGTCTTGAAGGTGCCTCCGTCCACATGTGGGTACGTGGTCTCCGAGGCCATGTAGGCGGAGGGGATGGAGATGAAGGCAGGGACGATCCAAACCGTCAGGATCACACAGTACGCCGTCTGGTACTTCATACGAGGACGGAGAGGATGCAGGATTGCCATGTACCTGCAGAGAAGAAGAGAAGAACTGAATGATGTCTTCAGAGTAATAAGGGTGGCCAACCTGGGGTACTGACTAATGTAGGACTGCCAGGACGTTTGTGTGCACACACGCGCCAATGAATTTAATGTGTTTCAAATTTCAATCCCCACTAAAGATATGAAGTTGTTAGTAACACAATTCGGCAACAAATACATCTTCTGAGTTTGATTCTTTAGGGACTCAAAAACAAACTTATGTACTGGTAAGTAAGTCCATTTCAAGGTTTACAGACCGATTCAGAGCTGGCAAAACACTGAAGCTTCAGTGTCCACCACATGGCAACCTGTGTGAGCATCGACTCTAGAGGAGGGGGGGGGCAGCTCTCTCCAATGTTTAGAATTTAAACTGCAGTACCCATTTTAAACACTAGGTGTCAGAGCTAAATAATGCTCCTTTAATTTCTTCATACTTTATGTGGAAACATGACTCAATAACATCTGAATCATCATCTCAAAAATCTACTTCCTCTTTGATATCCTGAAACAGATCTTTCTCTTTGTTCAGTCAGCAGTACCCATTTTAACCTCTAGGTGTCAGAGTTACATACTGCTCCTTTAACAGCTTCTGCACAGTTGGTGCTAACAGCTTGTTTGAACTATACTCTAAACATAAACTGACCTCCAGCAGGAGCTCCGCATCTCTTCTGCTACTGAACAGACTCCAACACATGCAGACCCTCCTCTGAAGTCTGTGGTGTCAGAATAATTTTTTTGTTTGGATTTAGCATACCTGAGGGCTGGAACAATAACTCTGAAAGCAGCTGTTCCAAACTGCTGCTGCCTCTTTTTATAATAAGCTGCAGAAGTGTTTTATCCTTGATCCAACGAGAAGGACACAATGAGACACACGGTAAGAAGAACCTGTGAGCTACACCACACACACAGGGGACGCTGACCCACCCGAACACCCTCGCTTACACAGATGATCCATCTCTCCTCTCTGCAGAAGCCATTTATACATGACAGGAGAAGTCAGCAGTGATTAATGTAACACGGCCAAGCAGCTGGTCCCAGAGTGTGAAATACTAACAATGATGGATTCGAGTCAGAGGCTGAAAGAAGGTGAGAGTAAATAATGTCCGTCCAGAACGTTCAAAGTCCCGACCATAAATCAGCTGCAAACAAATCAAAATGCAGCAGCACGAGTGCTGACAAAGACCTGAAGGAGAGCCCACATTACACCGATTCTCAAATCTGTGCACGGCCACCTGTGAGTTCTTGTGTTGACTTCAAAATCATTAGATTTTCTTCATCGCCTTGAGTTGCACCGGACTAACCAGGGCGGTCCCTCAGATCGTCGCGCTCTTTTAGTTGTTCTACAGAATAGTATGAAAACTTTTAGGGATGCTGATTTCAAGTAGACGGACTAGAGACACATATAGAGCCCCACAGGAATGAGTTCTAAAACCAGGAAGTAAGTTAGCATTTGAGCGCCATGGGGTCTAACGTCTAAAAGTCAACAGGGATTTTGAATGTGTTTGTGGTTAGACTCCTGAAATAAGGTCTGTGGTTAACACAAGCTGAAGAGATGTTGGTGTTTTGTTAGAGCACATAAACTACGTTAGGTAATACCTCCACTTGTGAAGTTTGAAGTTTTTACTCGTCTTTAAAAAGGCGGTTGCTAACAAGAGGCTAAATGTGACTACAGTGGTTGTCGGGGACATTAAAGGTCATCACGCCGGACACAGAGGGCGGGAACTCTCTCACTAGTCGGAGATGTCTCCTGTAGGTTTAATCTTTAGGTTAAGGTGAATATTATGTTAGGAAACTATTTATTAAACTACGTGGATTAGTTTATCAGAGATCGTCTGAAGCATAACGCTAGTGATGTCACAACCATCCGACCGTGGTGTAGTTAGCTTTAGCATGACGTTAGCTTTTTACTTCTGTCGGCCGCATTAACGCTTCAAACATCATAAAAATGGCGTTCATCTGTGAAGATGATCCTGCTGAACAAAACGCCTACGCTTCAGAAACGTGTGTTTCACACAGAGATTATTTTCTGCAATGATCCAAAATCCAATGAAAACATCCCAGAGGAGGATTCTCATTAGACCCCATGGGCGATGCTACTTCAGGGTTGGACTACAAAAATACGTCATATGGTTTGTTCTCTATGAGTGTTTGAGAAACATTGTGAAGTGGATTTTATATCATGTGACCTTTAACCTTTAAAAAAAACATTTTTAACTGTTTTAACACTTTTAAAACCCTGCTGAGAACCCAGAGTGTGATGATGAGGGTCGACCCACCTGTCCACGGCGATGGCCAGCAGAGCGTTGGTGGACACGTAGAGCGACACCGTGCGCAGGTAGTTGGTTGCGGCGCAGAGCAGCAGGCCGTGATCCCACGACAGCTGCTTCACCACGTAATAGTCTAACAGGAAGGGACAACACACCACCGCCACCAGCACGTCCGACACGGCCAGGTTGGCGATCAGCAGGTTGGTCAGGTTACGGAGCTGCTTGTAACGAGCGAGGCTGGCGATGAACAGACAGTTTCCCACACCGCACACCAACATGATGCACACCAGCACCGCGGCGATGACGATGGTGGCCACGAAGAAGGCCCGGCCCTGCGTGGTGTCCGGGATCTCGTCCAGGGGGATCCCATAGTCCAGACCCTCGCTGGACGACGGGAAGTAGTCCATCGGAGCCGAGCTGCAGTTTGACGAGTCGACCATTTTGGATCAGGTCAACATGCTCAGAAAGAAGCGTCTGTAAAAGTGAAAAAGAAAACAAGTAAAGAGACGACACCAGAGACCGCATCCCGACTGAGATGGACCTCTTTTCAAGACCACCGAACTCCATTAACAGAAACCTTCGATTAACCTTCACAACCCGGGACTTTCTCATCCACCACCACCGTCGTGGTCAGTCAGGTTAGCTTATCTTTCATTCATTTGTTTTTTTAACAAATATTTTGTTGCATTGTTTATATATATATATCTGTGTGAATCAATATAAACCTTGCCCTTAACCTCGCCCTAAAGATAAATATATCTTTTCTGGGGGTCGTAGGGGAATTTTCCTGGTGAAGGAGCAGGTCCAGGTTTTTCACCCTTAATTATATTGATTGATGGATATTGATGACTATTGTATTAATGATGTGTTGATCTGTTATTGTTTGTGGGTTGGCTAACCCCCAAAGGCGGGATTATGTTGTAGTTTGAAAGGTAGAATCATAACAATCTGGACAGCAACAGGCACAAACCAATAGTTATCTAACCTCTGAATTTAGCCAGGTCATAAGGTCATGATCTGATACTCATACACACATACCCACACAGTCTTTCCTGGTAATAGACCAGTTTTTCCAGCCAAGAAACTTCTAGGACATGGTCTTTATGTAGTACACATGTTGTAACTGCCCAGTGTGATGATTGCCCATGACGGGATGATTGGGATGCTATAAAAGAACTGCTCCGAGAGAAATAAACAGATCCTCAATTCACAAGCCATAGTCTCTGTCTGATTGTTCAAGAGCATTTACTCTTCAACAAACTGACTAAAGTTTACCCACTAAGACACTCATTAGCTACCGTCTACTTCGGGGAGTGTGGACCAACTTTTCAAGGATTCCAGTGTAACCGTGACCTCCTTTCCCTCGTGTTGTGAACGTTTACACTCCCACGGTTAACTTGAGAAGCAAGGATTGAGTTGGAGCTGTGACAGGACTCTAAGAGCAGACTGAAAGCAGTTTTCGCCTCTCCTCGGCTTCATGCACATTTAAAAACAAAAGAGTTGAAAGAAATGAGAATCACTTGACATCGACCGTCCCAGAATAAGAAATGAAACGCACCCTTTCACAGGCGCTGTGCTCAGGAAGTAAAGAAAGATGAGCATGCTCAGTGGAGTATCGTTAAAATCAACTACAGAGCACTCATCGACAGCCTGCCTGTGAAGTTGGAATAAAAGAGAAAAATAATTCAACATCAGAAAACGCATTCTGCTCCACATTTTACACGGGAGATTTAGCAACAAACATGTGCCTGACCAAACCCCCCACAGCTCCTGATATCAGTCAGCTGCAGGAAGCTCAAGCTCACCGTTAACTAGCAGTAATGAGAGGAAGCCGGGGCTCAGTCCAGCATGGATCAAAACACAGCAGGAGGAACTCAGAACGCCTTGAAACGATTAATGAGGAGACAAAGTGTTGTTTAGGATTTAAAGCTGAAAGTGCGACCATGGCTGGTTTTGAATGTACCGGATCGTACCAGCATACTTTCACCCCCGTATACAGGTGTCTGTTTACTAGGGCCCGACCAATATGGAACTTCTGGGGCAAATACCGATACCTATCTTTGATCTGTAGATATAGATTTACACATTTATTATGTTGATCCCTCAGTTATCAAACACTTTAAAAAGATTTATAATGAAGACAAGATGGTCACTCAGCTGGAAAGTAACTGAGCAGGAACGTGCATCACCGCTCGACACTCTGCAGAATGATGATGTTTGTTGTAATCCATATAGCGCCCTCTGCTGGTGACAGAGAACTGATAGTGTAATGCAATGAAACTCAAAATGAAATGTTATTTGACTGGTGATTAAATCGAGTATCATCGGTGCATAAATAAAATAAAATTAGCCGATATTGAGAGTCACTGGATGAGCTGATATCGGCCGATATTATCGGCTGGAGGATTTATCGGTCAGGCTTTAGTGTATTCACTGCAAAAACTCCAATCTGAAGACTGAAGAAAGAATCTTCAGTCTGAACTTGAACTAAACCCAGAAGAGGAATCCTCAACTTAAAGAAACACATACCTGTTAGAGACATAAATCTACTTTCCTGTGAGTTTGTTCATACTAAAAGAAGATATCCCTCATGCTTTAACGTCCAGTTCAAAGTGATGTTTTCCAAGCAGGCGTTCAGTGGATGACCCTGTAAAGGCCTCTCACACAAACACAGCGCCTGTAGATTTACTGTCGGACACACAAGCAGCTCTTTGGCTCGTCAGTGTGACTGTGACACAGCGTTTGGGTCTGACTCTCAGGGAGCTTCATGTTCATGGTGTTGCTGATTCTGTCTCCTGGTGACCGTGTTCATGAAGTCTGCCTGTTAGATTTGTTCACAGGTTGGGGAATGTCTCGTCTTAACTCTGACGTCTGGACAAGCTTCGACTCAAGAACCTTTTTTTTTAACTGATCTGTTTTCTTTACTGGAATCAAACTTCCAGAGAGTGTCTTTCTCTTTACGGAACTTCAAATCCAAATAACACCAAACTGTTACAATCATAGTTTGTAAATTTACTTTAAAGTCTTTCTATGTGATTTTTCACACTTAAATGTAGAAATCAAGTATCTCCTCTGAAAATAACTCTGTGAGTCATGACTGTCTACAATGGGTGTAACACCCGAGTCCCACTGTCTGTGATGTTTTCAGAGTTTTCAGAGTCCTATCTTCACTTTGTTTACATCGCCAGGACAGCCGGCTGACTCCTCCCCTCGTGTATAAAAGTTGTTTAATTGAGGGACTAGAGAAAAGAAGAATAACATACTGTACTCACTGCTTAACTGTGTTTCTAGATCACGCTCATTTCAGGTAAATTTACATGCAGTGTGAAGATACCAGCATAATAAAGATCGCTAGCATTAGCATGCTAACACAACAATGCAGCGCCAGTTGTTTTGGTTTCATGCTGGTGCTCAAGGGCGACATCTGCTGGATCAAAGAAATCACATATAAAGTCTTTAAGAGAGTTGGGAGCGCCTGATGAGCGTGGGTGCGTGCGCATAACGGCGACCAAATAAAATAATTGCTGGAACAAAAGCATTCAAGTAAACCTGGAGCACTCCTCGTTGCTTTGCTGCGAGAGGAGGAAAGTGTCACAAAGAGTGAAGGTAAAGCCTCCTATTTGATGTGATTGGCTGCTCCGGCCAAAAGTGACATTGAGTGTTCACGTCTTGAGCTGAAAAGTTCATTCATGCACGTCTAAAAACTGCTGCAGAACGACGCCGCGAAGAGAAGAGCGCCCAGCCAGCGTGCTGCTCCAGAGGAAACAATGGATTTACTTGGGGTCGCTTTTGTAACTTCACGATCGAGCCCTAAGAGTGCAAAATATTTTGTAAAAGCAGTGAATAAATAATAAATGCAGACTCAAGTTTACAGTTTTGCTGTCGCCCTCTTGGTTGTTTCTTTTGGCAGAAATGACCATATTTGGGCGAGGGAAGTGATTTGCGACTAGCTGTTTAAAGGATTGAACATTGTCATCCTGACTAGTAAGTTAAACACATTGTCAATATTTTTATATCTTGGCCCTCGATGCCTATCAAATGTTGTGCTCAAATTTTAATGCAGTCTCTCGCCACTAGCCGGCGCTGTAGCCTAACCATAGACTGGATTAATGTGCCTGCTCCTCCAGATCTACAACATGTATGTAAACAAGCACAGAGAGGGAAAGCATCTCGTAGGAGCAGAGCGGATCAGCAGTATTTGATTTTAGGAAATCTACATTCATGTGGACGTTTACCTGGCGGGGCTAGCACTGCTAATGTTAGCCACACAAACTGATTGGACTTTCTTTTCTCCAGTGTTTTCTAACCTTCAGACCAGTCAGTCTAAATTTACATTTCTGTTTAAAGGAGCAATATGTAACTCTGACACCTAGTGTTTAAAGCTGGTACTGCAGTCCAAATTCTAAACATTGCAGAAAGCTGTCTCCCCCTCCTCTCTAGAGTCGATGCTCACGCAGGTTGCCATGTGGTGGACACTGAAGCTTCAGTGTAAATAACAGAATCGAGCTGATGTTGTCGCTGTCGCTCGCTCGGGTTACATCCTGGCAGGACAGGCTGTCAGTTTTCAGAGGAACAACATATTTCCAGTTTACACCGCGTCCATCCTGTCCTGAAAGAACAGGATGGGCTATTTTTTCCTTTCCTTTTTCAGGATCAGAAACAATCACATTTAAACCTTTTTCATATGTTTTTGTATTCTTATATAAAGAATAGTCATTTTGGTTTCAGCACAGGATCAGTTGACCTACAGGGCTGCCATCATTTAGTGCATAAATCTATAAAATCCTGCATTTCATAACTGCATCAATCAGACCTTTTACAACACACCAGCGGAGTGAGTTTAACACCTCCTCTAATTTTTGCATAAACAAATATTCATCTTTAAGTTAAAATCACTGTGCAGGATTTTATTCATTTTCATTAAAAGATCAACAGACCTGTTTGTTCTCACGTTTCTGCTCAACTGGAATAACAATATTTAACGATACAGACCTAACTGTGTCGGAATAAGAGTCGAATAAAATTAAAATATACCCTCCGTACTCTCTCTCCTGTCCCAGATGGGGTCCCCAGACCACACTTTAAGAACCATCTCTGGATGATGTCAGCAGACAGAAGCTATTTGTTTTAAATTGTTAAGGACAGAAACACACGAGAGCAAAGAATATTAATGAGCAAAAGATGAATGTGCTGCACTGCACAAATAACATTCAACTGAATTGAAGTTAAAAGATACAGGAGGCATTAAACATATTTATCACGCAGGGTTTTAGTAGTTTGATTACTGCAAACAACAAGTTAAATGAACAATAATCGCGACGTTTTAAATCACATTTAATGTGAGAATTCAAAAGTCCGGATTCTCCAGGTGGCTTTAAACACAACATCTGCGTCGAACGTAATAAATGAAATGATCACAATAAAAAACAATACATTCAAACATTTAAAGTGAATAAAAAAGATATGTGTTGATCTGGTACAGACCTGAAGCTGCTCCTCCACGCGCTCCACTCCGCTGAAGATCTCACAAGAGCGCGAGGCACGTTCACACACCGCGCGCTGTCATAACGGTTGATGCGGAAGTGTCCATACAGGTAGAAGGAGCAGGTTGTGGCTGCACGCGCACACTGAGCAGGTGATCTTATTGGACGGAAATACGTGGTTCTGTCTGTGAAAGAATCAGGGCCACTCCAGAGACTGTAAATATTAGAGACACACATGAGAAATAAAATGTTCCTTTATGCACTTGCAAAAAAGTTGAGAAAAAACGTCAAAATGTCGGGAGGGAAAAGTCGCAATGTTGAGATGAAAGGTAAAATATAATGTCAAGAATAAAGGTGAAATTTAGAGAAATAAGTCAGAGAATAAAGTCGCAATGACGAGAAAAAAGTTCCAATGCAGAGAAAAAGTCACAATGTCGGAAAAAATTCGCAATGACGCGAATAAAAGTCGCAATGACGATAAAAAGTCACAATAATGAGACAAAAGTTGCAATGATAAGAAAAATTCACAATGTCGGGAAAATTCGCTATGACAAGAAAAAATTCGCTATGACAAGAAAAAAGTCGCAATGACGAGAAAAAAGTTGCGCGGACGAGAAATCGCACTGACAAATGGTGAGAACAAAGTTGCAATGTTTAGAATAAAGCTGAAGTGAAATTTTGACTTTATTCTTGAAATTGTATTTCAAATTTATTCTCATCAATTTCTTATTCTCAAAGTTCACAAAGAAAGAAAGAGCTTCCTCCTCTCTTCATTTGTTTCTCGTCTGACCGCTGATCTCTGACGTTTAAACTGATTAAGATTTGAAAACCGGCTCGTGTGTTACCGGCCTCTAGAGGGCGCTGCTTAGTTCTCAGTTCATCTAAAAAAATCAAAATAAAACCTCTGACACATTCTCATCATCTGTTTTCAAAGATGTGCAATATTTCAGAAAAAGGTTGCGATTAAAAAAAGGTCTCACGAGTCGATCTTTGTGCGTTGCCTCTGTGAGCAGGTACAGCTGATGCAGCTGTTGGTCCACACGGTCTCCACTGATCACGTCAGGAACACTAAATCCTTCTCTCATGTGGAAATCAAAGACAGGCGAGGAAATGTCAAACTGACAGAGGGGTCAGAGACAGAACACCTGCAGGAGCTGAAGTGACCCCTTCAGGTGTGAGGACCTGAACAGAGACCACTCAGAAACAGAATTACAGGTTTGGGGAGCTCGAATCTATTTTCAGTTTCTGTGACGTCCACCTGCAATCAGCTGCGACCCCTGCAGCGGTTTGGAGTCAGTGAGAACCCTTCAGTGCTGCGTTCAAGGACCTTCAGCTCCACATCCCGATTGATTGATTTGATCCCATCAGCAGTATCGATGTGCATGTGTCAACTTGTTTTTAAAGTATTCTGCCCCCTAATGGCCCTACGGGGTCACTACAGGAAATAAAAACATTCACAAAACAGAAAATAGCTCTTTCTATTTTTATATTATAATTCATTCCTTTAGAGTTTCAACTGTCCATTTATGGTTGTATAATTATGAATTAAAATGTTTATCCTGCATTTTCGACTGATGTAAAGTTTGTATTTTTTATTTTGAGAATACCTGCAAAACAACTTCACCTAACTGCTTGGCCAGTATGTTGAATATATGAGATGCAAGACACACAGTATGTGATTCATAAATAACTTAAACTTCTATTTTGATTCCATGGGAACTTAAAATACTAAGAGTATTCCCTTTAACCATTTGGTCAATAAGTAGAATTACAATGTCAAGAAATGGGTCCAACAGGAGGAATGTAGTAGAAACAAAAACAAAACTGGTTTATTCCAGTGTTTGTGATCATCATAATTATTGTCTCTGCTGTACCTTTGTCATCAGGACCAAACAGTTCTGGGGACTTTTTCAGATAGTTGCTGTTTCTCAGAAACGTGTGTTAGGTTTATATCTCATCTTTAAAAGTTACACTTCAGTACTGACCTGGTTTGTTCTTCAAGGAGTCAAAAGAAAAAAAATACATTTATGTAAAAGTGTTTTATTTTACAAGTAAAGATGGAGGCCGCTCGACTTCACAAACTTTACGAAACAAAAAGTAAAAAAAAAAAAAGAAGCACAACTTTTAAAAAAGCTCTGCAGGATTTACAAAAACCAAAGGATCTGTAGGAACAACGGATATCCAGGGACCGCCCCCCCCCCCACTCAGAGTCTCTTTGTGTCACATGATCAGACCCGGCTGGGACTACTTCTTGGCGTAGGTGACCTTCATGGCGCAGGTGGCCGTGATTCTGAAGCCCTGCAGCGCGTCTTTAGCCACGCCCGCCTGCGTGTCGCTCTCGAACTCCACAAAGGCGATGTCGTGTTTCCCCGGGACGAGACGCACCTCTTTGAACCCAGGAAACCTGAGGAGGGAAAGCGAAACAGTCAGCACACAGAAACACAGACACCTCTATTTAAAGTGAAGGAGACAAGGAAGTGAACTGACTGGTTGAAGAGCATGGAGAGCATCATCTCGTTGGTCTCCTCGGGCAGGTTGTTCAGGAACAGGATGTAGTTTGGTGGATTGTCGGGCACCTGAGAGAACAGATCCTGATCAGTGACCCGTTAAAGGTGGACACACACACACACACGACAACACGTGATGGAGTAACGAGTGACGTTTGAGCTCATATTCTGTAAAATCCACTTCTCCATGTGTCTCTAGTCCGTCTACAAACCCCCCAATGATGAGAAAAGTCCATCCTCTCCGTCTTCTGCCTGCTCCACTTTTCAGAAAATGTGTGCTCAAACAGGCCGTTTGGCGATTTTCCCTTCATGACATCACAAAGGGCAGTAGCCCCTCCCCCAGGTGGGTGACACTCCCACAGCTAGGTGTTTGTTCTGCCCTCTGAGTCTGCCTTCTCACCGTAAACAATAGGACATGGAGCGAGAAAGACCGAGTACACCCAAGCCCTTCCAGAGAGGGGGCGTGGTCAGACACAGCTCATTTACATATTTAAAGGTACAGACACAGAAACAGCCTGTTCTGAGCAGGGCTGAAATAGAGGGGTTTATAGACATGATCAAATACAGGATCAGAGTGGATTTAGAACAAGAAACTTCACACACATGTTTTGAGGAGATCTGAGACTTATTTACATTGAAGAGGAGGAGGAGGATATGTCACCTTTAACATAAACATTCAGATGAAATGGTCTTACCTGTGCTGCAGGAGAGTGAACAGGTGCTGCCGATCCCTGCAGAGAGCAAACACACAGACATCAGAGAACAACACATGAACCTGTTTCCTGTTTGTTTTCATGTCAACAGGACAGACTCAGACTGACGGGTTATTACCACATTATGAGCAATAAAAGGAGCTGATCTTTAACGCTAACAAACATTTGATGGCTCGTTTCAGAGGTGAACATGAAAAACGACGGTCTCCGATCTCTTCATCAGAAAGTTATCACAGACGAGCAGCAGGGCGCTGTGGTTTAATTTGTAACAGATGTTTCATGTCATGTACGTCTTTGTAACCTGCGACTGGATGCTTTGAATTTCCCTCAGGATCAATAAACTATCTATCTATCTATCATTGGATAAAAAGGTCTGGGGGGGGGGGGGGGTAAAGTAAACAATCATGGAGATCTTGCAAGACCGTTTGATACTGTGACAGTGATAATAATAATGGAGTATCTGTAAAAATGATTCATTATCAACCGGTGTTATGATGAATATGGTCGAGGTTATGAAAGGCAGGATGTGGCGCAGAGTGCTCCTGGGTGAAAATAACAACAGGGAACAGCCAGGAACATGTTTCTGCAGCTGCTGTTATGTTCAGTCTGTGTGGTTTGTTGGATAATGAAAGAAAGAAGCGCTGAAACGCCCGTGAACGTTTCTGAAAGATAGACAGAAGAGTCCCTCCGCGTCTCCTCACCTACGGATATGCATAGCGAGGCTGAGACACAGACGGCTGACTGATCAGATTATTCTTCCTCCTAGATCCTCCTGAGATCGCTTATTTTTTCATTCTGGTATACCTCTGATTGACCGACTACTAGGCATGCAACAATTCTCAATAAATATTGAACCTTTCCGTACGGCAGCCACGGTTCAACACTGACTTGTGAATTGCGGTTTTAACGGTTTGGCATTTAACTAGTTTCTGTGCATTGTATTACTCTCTAAATTGGCTCTGTCTGTGTGTGTGTGTCTCTGTGTGTGTGTGTGTGTGTGTGTGTGTGTGTGTGTGTGTGTGTGTGTGTGTGTGCCTGTGTGTGTGTGTGTGTGTGTGTGTGTGTGTGTGTGTCTGTGTGTGTGTCTCTGTGTGTGTGTGTCTGTGTGTCTGTGTGTGTCTGTGTGCCTGTGTGTGTGTGTGTGTGTGTGTGTGTGTGTGTGCCTGTGTGTGTGTGTCTGTGTGTGTCTGTGTGTGTGTCTCTGTGTGTCTGTGTGTGCCTGTGTGTGTGTGTGTCTGTGTGTGTGTGTCTGTGTGTGCGCGTCTGTGTCTCTGTGTGTCTGTGTGTGTGTGTGCCTGTGTGTGTGTGTCTGTGTGTGTCTGTGTGTGTGTGTGTGTGTGCCTGTGTGTGTGTGTCTGTGTGTGTCTGTGTGTGTGTGTGTGTGTGTGCCTGTGTGTGTGTCTGTGTGTGTCTATGCCTGTGAGTCAGCGCGCAGGGTTGAGGAAACCCCGTCCGCCAAGCAAGTTAATAGCCAATCACCACACGCTAAAGTTTGGTTACGCTGACAACAACATTACTGCGAGGAGCAGGGAGGAGCAGGGAGGAGCAGGGAGGAGCAGAGAGGAGCAGCGAGGAGCAGAGAGGAGCAGGGAGGAGCAGCGAGGAGCAGGGAGGAGCAGGGAGGAGCAGGGAGGAGCAGCGAGGAGCAGAGAGGAGCAGGGAGGAGCAGCGAGGAGCAGGGAGGAGCAGGGAGGAGCAGGGAGGAGCAGGGAGGAGCAGAGAGGAGCAGGGAGGAGCAGGGAGGAGCAGAGAGGAGCAGGGAGGAGCAGAGAGGAGCAGCGAGGAGCAGAGAGGAGCAGGGAGGAGCAGGGAGGAGCAGGGAGGAGCAGGGAGGAGCAGGGAGGAGCAGGGAGGAGCAGAGAGGAGCAGGGAGGAGCAGGGAGGAGCAGGGAGGAACAGCGAGGAGCAGCGAGGAGCAGGGAGGAGCAGCGAGGAGCAGCCAGGCCCGGAGTGGCTAATCGGGAGAACCGGGACAATTCCCGGTGGGCCGGGCTGCCTGAAGGGCCGGTACAGTGACAGTCTATAGATCATACAGGCTGCAGTCATTGCTCAAGTAGCGTCTCACTACAGACCAGTTTCTGATAGTGTGGAGCACTAAACATGTAGAGCGCAGTGTTTCCCACTCGTCCAGGTATATTAACCACCACAAACGGCCTTTTTCTGAAAGCCTCTCTCCCTCATTATGTCAAAAACATGCATTAAAAGATAACTGTGGGTCCGCGAACGTGAGAGGGAGAGAGAGAGAGAGAGCTATACGGGTGAGCGAGAGTCGGGGAACGTGCCATTACGCATATAAGTGGACGGACAAGAAAGAAAAAGTGAAATTGATCATGTGCTCTACAGTTTCCATGTTAACCAGTGAAGTATGTGAACTACATGGCAGGCTGCTGTCTGTTAACTAACTGATGTCTGTCAACATCAACTGAGTGCTCCTCTGTCTGCACATCACCCTCACTGCTCTTATTAAAAACTCTAAACTGCTCATAAACCGTCTGAACCTTCAGTGTGACGTTTGATGTCTTTTGAAATGTTCTTAAATGGTTTGATCTGCTGTTAATACTCCAAATATTTACAATACTGAACATTACAAGAATAAGAGAGGAGCCATAATCGTAACTAAAAGAGAAATATGACAGTGTGCCACCAATGCACTTTTTTGTTGACATTCATTGAGCTAATTGTAGTTTACTTCATGTTCAAATCTAATCTGACTTTGCAATAGGCTGAAAGGAGAGCACCTGAATTTGTTTTGCTTCAAAGTCAAATAAATAGTTTTAAAATGAAAAAAGTAGCTCTCTTTCTAAATCCCTTGATGTTCTGTAAAATGTGCCTAAAACACTGGAAACATTTTAACGGCCCGGCCCGTCAGAACCGAACCGTGAACCGTGACCAATAAACCGAGGTACGTATTGAACCGTGGGCTGACTACCGACTACCTTTGCTGGATTACTTTTGTTGCTTTTTTTTTTTCGTTTGTTTTGATGAGTGAACGGCTGCGTCGGCGGATGGCTTCCTTCTTTTTCTGTGGACTAAAAAGAGAATTTGAACTGAACTTCTTGTAGATCATATTGCATATTTCGTTTGTTTGGGACTTTTAGTTTATTTTGAATTCATAAAAGGGGTAAATTAAAGGATTTTTTTTTTATTTCATGCAACAACACTGTGCTGCTAACCAAACAATTATTTCCCATAATGCCCGGGGCAACGGAAGCCTGTTATGTCCAAAAAGGCGTCTGACTTGTAGAATTGGGTCGGACTGAGGTCTGGTCGCTTTCTCATCTCAAACAAACCGGTCCGGGGTTCATTTGGAAGCGAACCGAGACCCCCTCTTGGGCTGGGTCTCGGTTCGGCTGTTTGGCGCACGCCCGACTTCGATGGTTTGTATTCACACCTGCTCAAAAAGGTCCGCACCATGCAGGGTTTCAGTTCCTTTCAAGTAAACTAAACAAGGTAGGTGTGAAGATTTAGGCTGGAGAGGAGCGATAATCATAACTGAAAGAGGAGTAGGAACAGTAGTAGGAACAGTATGGCTGCTTGAGGGTCTCAATGGGCCAAGCCTAAAGCCATTTAACTTCCATGGGCATTGGATTTTATGTTTCGACAATTTGTGCACTACAAGAGCACACAGTTGTCAGAAGAAGTTTTTCACCTCTTCATTTTGCACAGAATTGATGCATCTAACTTTAAAATGTACACATTTTTCTCCTGGGGGTGCATGACCCTGGACCCCCCTAGAGGGTTCGGTTTCCCCCACCATAGTCTCATGAACCCTTTAGTCGTTTTTCATCCGTCCAACAACAGAGCAGGCTTCTGTTTAAGGTGAAGATTTCACCACTAGGTGTCACTGTTGTCATCGTACACTTGCTGTAGATGAAGGTTGTCGCTGCTGTTATTAACTAACAATAATGCTTTGTCATATTTTAAACACATTTCCCGTCACTGTTTGTGGAGTAACATCAGTTGACTGAAGTCATTTTCAGCCGTTCGTCTGTTCAGAGACGATCAGACACGACAGGAAACACTTTAAGAAATGCTTGTCACTGATTGGCAGGAAGTGAAAACGTCAGATTGTGTTTCAACATCAGGTTTAGTGAAGACTTTACATCATAACGTAAGTCACAGCTTACAATCAGCTCACATGCTTTAATATGAATTCACTCACCGCTGCAGGTTTCTTTATCAGGCTGGTTGCTGGCTCCAGAGCCTTCTTCTTCTTGTCCTTCTTCTTTTCCTTGTCGCCGTACGTTCCCTTCACCTTGGCGATGACCTCAGAGTCCGTCTTTGCGTACTGTATCCTCTGAGAAGGAACGGAGAGGTCAGAGACGCCGCTGTGATGTCACACATGATTAAAGACAAAGCAACAGGTCGTCGTGCTCTGGACCTACCATGGGCTTGTTGTAGAAGGGGAAGCCCTGCAGCTGCCTCAGGGCGTTTGTGGAGGCGGCGAGTTCTTTGAAGACGACGAAGGCCTGACCCCTCATCTTCATAGTCTTCATGGCCACGACTTCGAGGATCTGACCGAACTGAGAGAAGAGCGCGTACAGCGAGCGCTTCATCTCTGCAGGAGGACGGGGAGGGGGATCGACCACAAGTGGAAACAAACATTTTAAGTTCCCAGACGTTCAAGAAGCCCAAAACAAAAACAACATTCATGACACTTTGAAATGCAAACCATCAGGAGCAGCGCTGAACGGCTTACTGACCTTCTTTCTTGACTTTGTCATTGATGTTGTTGATGTAGATGGTGTGGTTTGGTCGGATATCCATATTGGAGTCTGAAAAACAAAAAGAGGGAATCTTGATTGCTTCTTTTCCGCTGGTCAACTTCAGCTTCCTGTGACTGATTTCTGTTAAAGTAATTATTCAGACTGGACTCTGCTTTGAATTGCCCACCGGGGACAAATAAAGTTTTTTGACTTGAATCCACACAATAAGACTCAGCAGACTCAGATGGCTTACGTTGATGAAAGTTTAAATACATCAGATGAGGAGACATGATTCAACATCACACTTGTGTTCTCGTGTCTTACTCAATCACATCGCCCGAACTTCTCCAAAGGCATCGCATATATCCTAAAGACATTATCAGGGTCACACTATCCTATCCTACAAGAAAGGCACAACCCCCCCCCCCCATATAACAGCAGGGCAAACACTGCACTCTCTAAGCTGTCCTTGGTGTTCTAATAACAGCTGAACTGTGTCAGCTCTGACTGACATTAGAGAACAGAGAATAAACATCACGACATCTGTACATTAGAATCTAAAGAACTACAGAGACTCCACCACAATTACTAATAAAAAACAACATCCATGAAGTGTGAAGGAGCTGATGTTATCAGATACTGTGAAACATAAAGACACACAGCGGGGATTGTTAATACAGATCGTTCTTTGATTCTTCTGGAAAAACAACATTCAGTGTGTCTGCAAAAAGACTAAACCAAGACATTATTCCTCCAGTGTTTCAGATGTTTTAGTCTGACTCAACATCTCCTTCATTTAAACAATAACATTAATAATTATGATGAAAACAAACATCATTTATTTCATGTTGGTTAATAAAACATTTAACTTCCACACATTAGAGTGAAACGTTGTTCTTTGACAGTTTGAACAGCAGGTTAAAGGTTTCCTTCAGGTCTTCTTTTGTTTCTGACAGAAACTGAAGAATGTTTTCTTTAAATGTTTTCTTAATGAGATAATTAATGAGATAATTAATTAACTATAACTTAAAGATAATTAATTAACTATAACTTACAGATAATTAATTAACTATAACTTACAGATAATTACTTAACTATAACTTACAGATAATTACATGTCGCGTCACAGTGACTGGGAGCTACTACGGGTTGTTTCTGGAGACATTCAGGAAGTATATTCATAAAAACAGATGCCCACATGTTATGCTAGTGTTAGCCATAGGTGTTAGCATGCGTTAGCTGGACGTTCATTCATAACGTTAGCAACAGCAGCTAACTATAAAGCTAACCGCTTATCCCTTTAAAGCGGTGTAATAAACTCTGTAAAGTATTTAAACAGTCTCCATTTGTATCTGTAATCTGTCCGGATCCTTTCATACAGACTTAAAACAAATGAACACAAGATAAAAATGTGAAAACTCACCTCCTCTCTGCTCATTTAAACAGGAAACACTGACTGATGGCGCCGGTAAATCCTGCGGCTGCTTTAACGCGGTTATATCTCTACCGCCCCCAGCAGGCCGGGAGGAGAACTGCAGGCCACATCAGAATCAGATTATTTTATCAGCTTTATCGAGATGATAATGAATCTTCTCTTTTAGTGAAGTTTAGCTATTGATAACATGGTTGAGGATATACCCCAGCAGATGGTAAAACATGTTTTGATCTCTTTAGAAAAATCTTCTTTAAGATTTCTCTTATTTTTATAGCTTCTGCTTATGTTCTTATTATGAGGAACAAAAAATGACTAAAGTATAAATAAATAAATAAATGTTGGGAGAAATGCATAAAATAATATATAAATAAATAAATAATTAAATAAATGCATCAATAAATATATAAATGCTGAAAACAATACATCAGTGAATAAATAATAAATACACTTAGTTAATGAAAAAGGCTATTTATATATTTTTACATGTATTTATTCATTTATTAGCGTATTTTTACAGTTATATATGTATCAATGCATACATTTCCACATGAATTCAGTTATTAATTTATTTCCGTATTTTTACATTTAAACATCTATTTATTTCTGTGTCCAGGTCGTAAGAGGAAAAGTATTTATGTAAATTTGCTTCTGTCTGTTTTTCAAAATTGACCAATCCTACTTCAGTAATGTTAGGACGGCCCACTTAATTTACATATTTACTTTTCCTTGTACAACATGGACACAGAAATACATAAATAAATATATGAATATATTTATTTATGTATTAATTTTTATATGAATTGTTGCATTTATTTATTTATATATATATATTTATATATTTATTGACGCATTTATTTAATTATTTATTTATTTATACATTATTGTATGCATTTCTCCCAACATTTATTTATTTATTTATTTATTTATTCATTTATTTATTTATAGTCATTTTTTGTCCCTCATACTTATGATGTCTTATGATGTTGTTTGGGTTCTTATGATGTTGGGGTTCTTGGGTTATGATGGTTCTGATGCTGGTTGGGTTTCTGTTGATGTTGTTTGGGTTCTTATGATGTTGTTTGGGCTCTTATGATGTTGTTTGGGTTCTGATTATGTTTGTTTCTTTGGGTTCTGATGATGTTGTTTGGGTTCTGATTATGTTGTTTGGGTTCTTATGATGTTGTTTGGGTTCTGATGATGTTGTTTGGGTTCTTGTGATGTTGTTTGGGTTCTGATTATGTTTGTTTGGGTTCTTATGATGTTGTTTGGGTTCTGATTATGTTTGTTTGGGTTCTTATGATGTTGTTTGGGTTCTTATGATGTTATTTGGGTTCTGTTGATGATGGGGTTCTTGGGTTCTGATGGTTCTGATTATGTTTGTTTGGGTTCTTATGATGTTGTTTGGGTTCTGATTATGTTTGTTTGGGTTCTGATGATGTTGTTTGGGTTCTGTTGATGTTGGGGTTCTTATGATGTTGTTTGGGTTCTGACGGTGTTTGTTTGGGTTCTGTTGATGTTTGGGTTCTTATGATGTTTGTTTGGGTTCTGATTTTGTTTGTTTGGGTTCTGATGATGTTGTTTGGGTTCTGATGATGTTTGTTTGGGTTCTTATGATGTTGTTTGGGTTCTGACTATGTTTGTTTGGGTTCTGATGATGTTGTTTGGGTTCTGTTGATGTTGGGGTTCTTATGATGTTGTTTGGGTTCTGATGATGTTGTTTGGGTTCTGTTGATGTTGGGGTTCTTATGATGTTGTTTGGGTTCTGATTATGTTTGTTTGGGTTCTGATGATGTTGTTTGGGTTCTGATTATGTTGTTTGGGTTCTGATGATGTTTGTTTGGGTTCTGATGATGGTGTTTGGGTTCTGATGATGTTGTTTGGGTTCTGTTGATGTTGGGGTTCTGATGGTTCTGATTATGTTGTTTGGGTTCTTATGATGTTGTTTGGGTTCTGATGATGTTGTTTGGGTTCTGATTATGTTTGTTTGGGTTCTTATGATGTTGTTTGGGTTCTGATTATGTTTGTTTGGGTTCTTATGATGTTGTTTGGGTTCTTATGATGTTGTTTGGGTTCTGATGATGTTGTTTGGGTTCTGTTGATGATGGGTTCTTGGGTTCTGATGGTTCTGATTATGTTTGTTTGGGTTCTTATGATGTTGTTTGGGTTCTGATGATGTTTGTTTGGGTTCTTATGATGTTGTTTGGGTTCTGATGATGTTGTTTGGGTTCTGTTGATGTTGGGGTTCTTATGATGTTGTTTGGGTTCTGATTATGTTTGTTTGGGTTCTGATGATGTTGTTTGGGTTCTGATGATGTTTGTTTGGGTTCTGATGATGTTGTTTGGGTTCTGATGATGTTGTTTGGGTTCTGATGATGTTTGTTTGGGTTCTGATGATGTTGTTTGGGTTCTGATTATGTTTGTTTGGGTTCTGATTATGTTTGTTTGGGTTCTGATGATGTTGTTTGGGTTCTGATTATGTTTGTTTGGGTTCTGATTATGTTTGTTTGGGTTCTGATTATGTTTGTTTGGGTTCTGATGATGTTGTTTGGGTTCTGATGATGTTTGTTTGGGTTCTGATGATGTTGTTTGGGTTCTGATTATGTTTGTTTGGGTTCTTATGATGTTGTTTGGGTTCTTATGATGTTGTTTGGGTTCTGATGATGTTGTTTGGGTTCTGTTGATGATGGGGTTCTTGGGTTCTGATGGTTCTGATTATGTTTGTTTGGGTTCTGTTGATGTTGTTTGGGTTCTGATTATGTTTGTTTGGGTTCTTATGATGTTGTTTGGGTTCTGACTATGTTTGTTTGGGTTCTGATGATGTTGTTTGGGTTCTGTTGATGTTGGGGTTCTTATGATGTTGTTTGGGTTCTGATGATGTTGTTTGGGTTCTGTTGATGTTGGGGTTCTTATGATGTTGTTTGGGTTCTGATTATGTTTGTTTGGGTTCTGATGATGTTGTTTGGGTTCTGATTATGTTGTTTGGGTTCTGATGATGTTTGTTTGGGTTCTGATGATGGTGTTTGGGTTCTGATGATGTTGTTTGGGTTCTGTTGATGTTGGGGTTCTGATGGTTCTGATTATGTTGTTTGGGTTCTTATGATGTTGTTTGGGTTCTGATGATGTTGTTTGGGTTCTGATTATGTTTGTTTGGGTTCTTATGATGTTGTTTGGGTTCTGATTATGTTTGTTTGGGTTCTTATGATGTTGTTTGGGTTCTTATGATGTTGTTTGGGTTCTGATGATGTTGTTTGGGTTCTGTTGATGATGGGGTTCTTGGGTTCTGATGGTTCTGATTATGTTTGTTTGGGTTCTTATGATGTTGTTTGGGTTCTGATGATGTTTGTTTGGTTCTTATGATGTTGTTTGGGTTCTGATGATGTTGTTTGGGTTCTGTTGATGTTGGGGTTCTTATGATGTTGTTTGGGTTCTGATTATGTTTGTTTGGGTTCTGATGATGTTGTTTGGGTTCTGATGATGTTTGTTTGGGTTCTGATGATGTTGTTTGGGTTCTGATGATGTTGTTTGGGTTCTGATGATGTTTGTTTGGGTTCTGATGATGTTGTTTGGGTTCTGATTATGTTTGTTTGGGTTCTGATTATGTTTGTTTGGGTTCTGATGATGTTGTTTGGGTTCTGATTATGTTTGTTTGGGTTCTGATTATGTTTGTTTGGGTTCTGATTATGTTTGTTTGGGTTCTGATGATGTTGTTTGGGTTCTGATGATGTTTGTTTGGGTTCTGATGATGTTGTTTGGGTTCTGATTATGTTTGTTTGGGTTCTTATGATGTTGTTTGGGTTCTTATGATGTTGTTTGGGTTCTGATGATGTTGTTTGGGTTCTGTTGATGATGGGGTTCTTGGGTTCTGATGGTTCTGATTATGTTTGTTTGGGTTCTGTTGATGTTGTTTGGGTTCTGATTATGTTTGTTTGGGTTCTTATGATGTTGTTTGGGTTCTGATGATGTTGTTTGGGTTCTGTTGATGTTGGGGTTCTTATGATGTTGTTTGGGTTCTGATTATGTTTGTTTGGGTTCTGATGATGTTGTTTGGGTTCTGATGATGTTGTTTGGGTTCTGATGATGTTGTTTGGGTTCTGATGATGTTTGTTTGGGTTCTGATGATGTTGTTTGGGTTCTGATTATGTTTGTTTGGGTTCTGATTATGTTTGTTTGGGTTCTGATGATGTTGTTTGGGTTCTGATGATGTTTGTTTGGGTTCTGATTATGTTTGTTTGGGTTCTGATTATGTTTGTTTGGGTTCTGATGATGTTGTTTGGGTTCTGATGATGTTTGTTTGGGTTCTGATGATGTTGTTTGGGTTCTGATTATGTTTGTTTGGGTTCTTATGATGTTGTTTGGGTTCTTATGATGTTATTTTGGTTCTTATGATGTTATTTGGGTTCTGTTGATGATGGGGTTCTTGGGTTCTGATGGTTCTGATTATGTTTGTTTGGGTTCTGATGATGTTGTTTGGGTTCTGATGATGTTTGTTTGGGTTCTGATGATGTTGTTTGGGTTCTGATTATGTTTGTTTGGGTTCTGATTATGTTTGTTTGGGTTCTGATGATGTTGTTTGGGTTCTGATTATGTTTGTTTGGGTTCTGATTATGTTTGTTTGGGTTCTGATGATGTTGTTTGGGTTCTGATGATGTTTGTTTGGTTCTGATGATGTTGTTTGGGTTCTGATTATGTTTGTTTGGGTTCTTATGATGTTGTTTGGGTTCTGTTGATGTTATTTGGGTTCTTATGATGTTATTTGGGTTCTGTTGATGATGGGGTTCTTGGGTTCTGATGGTTCTGATTATGTTTGTTTGGGTTCTTATGATGTTGTTTGGGTTCTGTTGATGTTGGGGTTCTGATGATGTTGTTTGGGTTCTGATGATGTTTGTTTGGGTTCTGTTGATGTTTGGGTTCTTATGATGTTTGTTTGGGTTCTGATTTTGTTTGTTTGGGTTCTGATGATGTTGTTTGGGTTCTGATTATGTTTGTTTGGGTTCTGATGATGTTGTTTGGGTTCTGATTATGTTTGTTTGGGTTCTGATTATGTTTGTTTGGGTTCTGATGA